TTCCCTAGAACACCTAAAATTCGTAAGACTGAAAATACCAAATGTTGGCAGAAATGTAGAGCAACTGGAATCTTCACACACTGTGGATGGAATTTTTTTTTGGCAGTTTCTTAGGAAGTTAAGCATACACCTACCTTTTAACTCAGTAGTTCCACCTCTACTTGTTTACACAGGAGAGGTGGAAACATACGCCACAGAAAGACTTGTGCAAGAGCATTCGTAGCATCTTTATTCACAGTGTACAAAACAAGTAATCCACGTATCCATCACCAGGAGAACAAGCAGCTGTGGTTTATGTGCATACAGCAGGGTGCTGCTCACCAGTACGAAGGAGAGAACCGCTGATACATGCAACAAGCGGATGAGTGTCAGACGCAGCGCCGCGTGAGAGACCAGACGTCAGAAAGCATGCGCTGAATGAGCTCTTGTACATAAAATTGTTGAAGAGGCAGAACCGATTTCTGGTGGAAAACAAACTGGAGCAGAGGTGGCCTCAGGCTGGAGGTGGGGAGCTATTGGTGAACTGGGGAAATGGAAGTGTCCTGTATCTGAACTGAATGTGGGTTATACAGATGTGGCCATTTGTTAAAATGTTACAGTTAAGATTTGTGCATTTCCATTTATGCAGATGTTACTCGAGAACTTCCATTACAAAAACAGCAGTCAAGTAGGGGTAAGGAGAGGGTGAAGGCATCGTGATACAAGAAAGGCAGAATCTAAAATTGCTGGAGCTGGTGACGAGTCCATAGGAGGTCACTGGACCATTCTGTTCACTTTGTGTAGATTTGAAATTTCCCATAATGAAAGTGTTTTTTTTTAAATTTTGAAGCACAGTACAGAACTTTCTAGTTTTTTGAGCCCATAAACTTTATTTCTGTCAATTCCAACTAGAGGTGGATTTTCTGTTACTCATAATCAAAACCATCTCAAATAATAACACTGGGGACTGTAGTGGTTTTTTGCTTTTGTTTTTTTTTTAATATTCTATCATTTCTGCATCTCAATAAGCCTCGCAGTTGGATCTTATCTCAGTTTAGGACCAGATGGAGACCTGTCAGACACCGGAACTACACAAGGGGCTGGGCTCGTCGGCTGCGCAGCTGGCAGCTGGAGCGGGGGGGTCACGGACACACACACTGACAGCACGGGGCCCTGGGCAGCCCGCGTGTTCTGCTCATTGTCAGATTCCAGGCCTAGGTGTGCCAAGTCTCATCGTCAAGTGAGAGGTCATGTAACAACACGGGGCTTAATAAAACTTTGAGAACAAGGGAAGGGAATAGCATTATGCAGACTTGAAGAACAATTCTGCAAATTATTTAAAGAATTATAGGGAATTTAAAAACTTTTCTGGTATCCTTTGTTTTTTTATATAGTTATTTTTATACAGTTATTTTTTTAAAAAATCTTTTTGTTTTGGGGAAGTAATTAGATTCATTTATTTATTGTCAGTGGAGGTTCTGGGACTTGAACCCAGGACCTCGTGCATCTGAGCATGGGCTCTCCCACTGATCTGTACCCTCCCCGCTCTGGTATCCTTTGCTGACGCAAGAAGACAAGGCTTCTGTGGAGCTGAAGCACGAAAGCATGAGGAACAAACGGGCTGAGAGGAACAGGGAGCAGAAAGGATGGACAGCAGAGGTAAACAACATGCAGCAGCAGAATTAAGATACAAACTGGAGACGGTAAAAGGGAGGATTCACTCCGAGGTGCACTGGAGCAGTGATGTGGAAAACACATCTGAGAAATGCTCTGGGAACTCAGAAGGGAAAATGGAAGAGATGAGAACTGTGGGAGAGATGGTGGCCATGGATGACATCAGGTGCTGAAGGCGAGCCAGCTTTCAGGGGAAAGGTGGTGACGGGGTTTGCACCCAGCCGCGTTTTGTTTCCTCCATGAAGGTAACAGGCATTTGTGTGTGCCAGGGTTCCAAACCACGTGGACAGTTCACATCACCTTCCTGAAAAACAGAACATTCAGTTGACTGGAAAACAAAAGGAAGAACTTCAGAACAGAATATATGTTACGAAGGGCCTGGCAGACTTCCTCCGGGACTGCCAGTGAGCAGAAGGCAGCACAGGTTCCTGGCGGGATCCTCAGCCCGGCAACCCGCTCTGCTGGCACTGGGCGCACTGAGGCTCTGCAGGAATGTGTGTCGCGTGCTGTCTGGACTACGCTTAAAAGCAGTTTCCTTCTGATCTGTTATTCCCCCCGACCGAATTGCGTAATTAGGCACAAACAGTTCATCTGGAAACTCCTCTCCCTCAGGCACTGTTTACTACAAGATTCAGAAGCTCGAAAGTAAGGGTGCAGCACAATAATGTTAAAAAAGAGCTCAGAAAAAAGACTGAAAGGAAACACTTCAAATGTTAAATAAATTAAATGATTACAATAAGGCTGTATGATTTTTAATCTTCGACTTTCTTGTGTTTTTTAGCTTTTGAAATGAGCGTGTACTGTTTCTCAATTAAAACAAACAAAAGAAAAATTGATGAAAATGCTATTACGAAGCAAAAAAACAAAAGGCATACAAAATAGTGGAACAAGAGAGCCAAAAACAATTAAGATTTCATTAAACAGGTAAACCAGAGAATGCATGTATCACTCAGAGTGTGGTATTAGCGGAAACAGTGTGAAAGGGAGCGTGTGAAATATTCGCTCTTTTCAGTTTCAAAATTCTTAGATTTTAAAAGCAGGTCGTAAGACAAACGTGCGGTCTCAGTACCCTCGTGCGGTGCCCCAGCCCGAGGGGAGCAGCGCGACCACGCTCTGCGGGCCTTCAGGTGCGGTGGGTTTCTGGACGACTGGGGAGCTGCAGGGCGGAGGGCGGACCCCCGGGCTCTGCCTTCTGCCTTTTGTACACGGCTTGCTGGCGCTTCTTGGTGACCACCCTAGTCTGATCCTTGACCCTGGAGGCAGGGGCAGACTTTTATCCACAGCCACACCTAACAGGCCTCATCTCCAGCAGTTAGCAGCTCACCCGGCGAGCCCGCCTCCTCAGGTGCCTGAAGAGCAGCGCGGACCCCTGCTGGCGCCCTGGCTCTGGGCGACACCCTCCCCGTGAGCCCGGCCCGGCCGCAGCAGCTCGCCCCTCGCCTGAGGCGCCCTCGGAGCGTTCTCTGCACGCGCCCCGCCCGCCCCGGAGGTCCTTCCAGACACCTTCCCTGACCTGTGTGTCTTGTCGGCCCCTCTCTCTGGAGCCATCTCTTGCCTGCCGCCCAGCCCGAGGAGCTGGTCTTTGTCCAGACAGTCTTCACCCCGGGACGCCCTGCCCGAGGCTCTGCCCCACAGCCACTGGACAGCGAGCTGTTTGTTGTTGTTGCTGCTGCTGTTGTTTTAAGTCTCTGCACCACCAAACCCTCCTGTTAGTGCCACCTTATTCTGCACATGCGTTTTCCGTCGCTGTCCTCTGGACGTGGTCTGAGAGCCTCAGCTTTGTTTCTAGTTTCATCCCCTCCTTTTCTGGGAAGTCTTTCACAATTTTTCCACCCTGAGTGTGTTTCTATAGCACTTAAAAGCTAGAACACATAATTGCTTTCTCAACATAATTGTAAACTCCTTGCGGGCTGGAACGGTGTCTCATACTTTCTTACACAACATAGGACAAAGCATCCTGGGATTTAAAATAATAATAATCAAATGTCTGTAACAGCAGCAAGTAAATACTGCTCTGGCTCCGCGTTAGCCTCCCACTCGTGGAAGCTCTGGCTTCCCTCAGACTTTCCCAACGCGCTCAGAGAGTCCCCGGGGACAGTCCGATCTGCCTTGCTCGCAGTGCTCTAGGTTATTTGTGGGGAGCCATTTCCCTCAGGCTTTGTTCCATAAATGTTTTTCTCTCTGCCACCCCAGCCCACACCCCTTTCCTTCCTTTTACACTCTTGCTGCTGTGGTGGAACATTCGCCACCCCATGCTCGATGCACACTGTCCTCTGGGACCCAGTTCCTCTGTTTGGCTCCTCACCTGGTTCAGTGCAGGGCGGCGTTGCCTGCCCCTCCAGCTCTGACCCGTGGTCCTTGCCCTGGCTGCGTGCTAGGGCTCACTTCCCCTTAGGAGAGGTGAGAACAGGATGACTCTCCGACTGAGTGAGTTCATTCCTAGGGAGACACTTGAACCACAGAGCAAGTAGCCCCCTTCGTGGACCAACCACCAATCAAACGTATGAAGACACGTGGTTATCTAGGGCTGAGCCCAGGGACCATCTCCCCCAGGAGGCCTTTCCCGAGTCGCCCCTGCCTCCACCGTCACCTCCAGCTGAATAATATGCATCTCCTTTTTGTGCCATGGTATTCCAAACGTGTCTTGGGTGTAGCTTTGATCATGTTATATGGTTGTTGTCTTTTTATCAGCCTGATTCCCCGTCTAAACCAGGAGCCCTCTGAGGGAAAGAGCCATGTCTGTGCATCTTTGAATTCTGAGTGTCTGGCTTAGTTCTTGGCACTAACATTCCACAGAATCTCAAGCTGGGCCCCGAATGTGCTTGTGCACCATAACTAATTTGGCTCAAATAATGCATTGTTTTGATTAATGGAAGTTTTCTCTTTGATAAGAATTGCATACCAAGGTAGTTCATTGTTTTTTCCTTGAAGATATGTGTCAAATCTATTCGTCAAACACTGAAAGAGCCCTGTTGTGTCCTGAGTCCTGCCCTGCCCCGTGGAGACACGGAGATGAGTAAGACATGGTCCCTGCACAGAGGAGGTCACAGAAACGTCTTTGGGTCTCCCTCCTGCTGTTTCTCCATTCTTCCCCCCATCCTTCCTTTTCTGGATAAATTTTTACGGCGCCTAGAATTGTGTCTAGTGGAATAAGTGCACATAAAGCGGTCGGTACTTTTTACAGCACAGCACACTCATTGCAACAGAGGAAGTTTATTCCAGACACGAGACAGCACAGAAGAAAGCAGCATGGGATTCTCAGGGTGGACGTGGGGGATCCTGGGAGGGCGGACTTCTGAGGGAGTTAGACAGGGTGAAAAGGCACTCTGGATACTCGGGGGTGAAAGGTACTCTCAGGAAAAGAAAGAGCACGTGCAATGCCTAGAGATGTGAAGTGCACTGTGTGTTCCAGAAACAGGAAAACGTTGGTATTTCTGCAGCATAAAGTTCGGCAGAAGGGAGGTGGGGTGGGAATAAAGCTAGGGTCATGGGCAGTATTTTAAGTGCTAAGATCTTCTATGTTTGGGAAACTTTTCAGTTAAGAGAGTGGTTATCTCCAGGACAGCTAGTGTACTAATAATCCAAGTGTGAAGCCAGTATATCGCAAATTTCCATCCACTTCCATCACAGAACCAAGCGAGGTTCTGTGATCAGCTAGCTTGGCTCAGGGCGCCCTGAAGGGGTGGGTAGGATGAAGGAGTATCCTCCCTGGAGTTTGTGCGCCTGTCTCAGGGCACAGATTTGCCCTCACAGATAGTTCCGGGCACTTACCAAGCAATAGACAGCCTAGCGCAGCCTGGAGCTGTGCCCGCAGCGTATGAGCACGACCTCGGCAAGTTGCAGGCGTGAGTAGGGCGTTGTGGGTTGTAAGGAGACAACCTGAGTTTCGGCTCAGAAACAGCTTCCATCAGAGACAGCTGAGCATAGAAAATGCAGAATTGAGGAATGTGCTTGCAAACTGGAAACACTTCAATGCTCTGTAGTCTGTGGTCAAGAAATGACCTTCTGGTCAGACCGACAAATAATCATCCTTGAGCTTCACAGCACAAGCGGGAGACAAATTTACTTTTTCTTTGTGAGAAATGTATTTACTTTCCTCTCTACTGATGACCCAAGCCTGTGCTGTCTTTAGTCAGTAGTTACTTTCTGTTAATTTTATTTTATGTACTTGAAGGTATTCAGTTGTTGTTTGTGTAAAGTGAGTTCCTGTGCTTGTGCCCAGTCACTGTCAGTCCGCACTGCACTGGGCTCAGCTTGGCCTCTGCTTTCCTCTCATTACTCTCAAAAACACACTGCCGCCTCTGCCCTTCTCCCTGCGGAAGGCGTTAACCGGTATCTTCTTGTCCCACTAGTCCCCGCGGCCCGCGTTCCCCTGCGGGGCATTCTCCCCTCTCGTGGAGCTGGGGTGGACTCCGTCGGGCCCAGGGCTTGTCTGTGACCGTCCTAAAGCCTTTGATCACTAAGTCACATTCCTCACGTAGGCAAACTCAGGTGTAGAAGGTGTTGTGTTTTCATCAATCCTCCAGAAGAAGACTGGGGGAGCCTTTCACTTCCTGGTTGTATACTTCATGAATTATTTAAGTTTGACCATGAGCGTTTGCTATTTTCATAATAAAAAGTAAAGATGACCCAATATGAAAAATGAAACTCAGCAGTAGAGCTTTAGTATCATTTCAGGTCTATTAAATTAACCTGTCTATACCTGCACGTGCATGCACACACACACACACACACCCCACAGTGCAAAATAGTGTTGAAAAGTGCATTCTCATTTAGACAGCGAGAGCTATAAGGTGTTCCCACGGGATGACCCTGAAGCTCCGCCTCTGAGAAACAACCCCAGGAAGTGACTCAAAAGAAGGAAGATAAAAAAATCTATATGAAGCTCGTCTACACAGAGAACGATTGGGGAAAGAAGACTTTAAAGTCAACATAAGGAAAAAAGTCAGGAAAATAATGATACATCAGCTGGATGGATGTTATTGCAACACTGCAAGTGATTGTCAGAAAACTATGTTAACAACACAGCATGTTTACAGTACTGAGCAGAGGAATACACAATTATATACACACTGATTACAGCTGTGTGAGAAATGAATTACACGTGGACAATTAGAAGGAGATGGATAATGAAGACAGCTGTTCTCGTTCAGTGTAATGCCTTCCAAGTTCATGTTGCTGCAAAATCTTGCTGAATGTTTTTTCAATAAGTAAGATTGGAAAAATTTAAAGAGTTTCGAGTTGTCAGTTCAGATTATCATTGTTCTGGGACTTTTACAGCAAAAGGAAGGAAAGACTCTAGAATCTGAGCCCTCTTCTCTTTATTCCATTGGCCAAAAGAAATAGAAAGTTATAAAAAGGAACATTTTCAGGGCATATGATACTGGAATGGTCTCTTGAGGGAGACTGTAGATTCCATTCTTAGAAATTTTTAAGCAAGTAGTTGCGGTTGATTGATTTATTCATATTACCAAAGATGGATCAGATCCAATTTTTTAATAGCCGCTTTATTGAGATGAGATTCACATGCTGTACTTAAAACCCACTGAGCTTCAAAAGTGCAGTCAGCGGTGTTTAGCATATTTGCAGATTTGTGCTATTCATCGCCATTATCTAGTTTGAAAACATTTTTTTAAAAACACCCATCAGCAGCTGTACCCCTTCCTCCCTCCTGCCGGCCCCTGGCAGCCACTAACCTGCTGTCCTTCTATGGACTTGCCCATTCTAGACATTCCGTGGAAGTGGAATCATACAGTATGTGGCCTTTTGTGTCTGTCGCCTTTCACTTAGTGCAGTGATGTCAAGGGTCATCCACGGTGTAGCACATATCAGGACTTCCTCTTTATGTCTGAATAATAATGCTCCATTGTGTGTGTGTCGCGTTTTGTTTATCCATCCGTCAGTCGATGGGCATTTGGGTTGTCTGGACGTTGTGTATGTGTGTGTCTGTGTGTGTGAGATAGAGAGACTGTTGTAAGTCATGTTGCTGTAAAAATTTGTGTGTGGACATCTGTTTTCAGGCTATTTTGGTTACGTATATGTGCGGATTTGCGGGGTCTTATAATAAATCTGAGTTTAGCTTTCTGAGGGGGTGTTTCCGAAGCGGCTGCGCCGTTTCGCAGCCTCCCCAGCGGCGTCCGGGGGCCCCCGGGGCTCCTGTGACGTCCCTTCCAGTTCTTGGTGCGGTGCGCGGCGTGTAGTAAACCTTGGCTAGATGCCCGTTATTCTTACTGATAATGCGCCCACTGTTAGCAGAGAAAACTGAAAATTGCCTTGTGTTCATTGTCTCTAAGCAAAATGAGGCACTGTGTTGTTTCCGTCACTAGGCTGTATTTTGGCTTTTTTCTACTCTCATTAATGGTAATGATATGTATTTTTTCCTTAATTGTATTTTCTAGAGAGAGATTACAAATGTGTGTGTGAATTTCTTCCTTTTCCTTCAATAACATGCTTTCTCATAGTTCTGAAGTCTGTAGATATTAAGTAAACGCCTGTCCTCACGTACTTAGGGCATGCCACTTTGTCCTCCTGGGTCCCCGTCCCGCTGCCCTCAGTTCGGGTGGTGGAGAGGAATCTGCAGGGGCTCCTGCGGCGAGCGGCAGGCTGCAGAGCACAGGAAGCTGCAGGAGGAGAGCAGAGACCCTGGCCTCGAGCCCTGGGCCACCGTGGTTGGGAGCACGGGGGGCGGCGTGCGGCCCTACGTGTGGCCTCTCTCACCTCCTCTGCCGTGTTCCTCCCCTTCCACTCCCTTGCTGCCTCCCAAATGTTTCCTATTCCTGCTTTAAGGGAAAGTTCATATACAAGAGCCCCATGTATGATAAACAACTGAAGTGCTGACAATACAAAGATCTAGGTCAAACCATCGTAAATCACCTTTCATGGTTTCT